CTGCAAGTGTTGATTGATGAGTTTGTAGAGGATCTCACCGGCTCAGCTGGCTCGCTTATCGTCACCCCGGATCGGGTCCTGCCACATCCTCGCAAAGCCGCCATGACGGGGTGGGCTACCTCTCTGTCGGCAGCCCTCCTATTAGCGCCGCCGCCGCTGCTGCTGCTGCCACCGGAACGCCCGTGAGCCTTCTCCCACCTTTCGCGCTTGTTCTTGAGAAGTCTATGAGCCATCTCTAAGGCTTTTGAGGCTACACGATCGTCGGTGTTGACAACAAAGACCTGTTGCTTGTTCGAAGATCTGTTGGGGCTCTTCTTGTCGACGAGAGTTGTGATCAGCAGCACCTCTCCGCGGCTGTTGTCTGGTCTCCACTCGTGCTGTATGACGTGTGTCTGGTTTCCCAGCCAAGGCATGCGCTCACACTTGCCTGGCTTTGACACAGCTGCCGCTGGCCCAGCTTCGGCTGCACTCATGTTTGAACCCGCGCGCACCTCAGTTTTTGTCTGATCAACTTTCTGAGTAGCTTCACCCCCCCTAAGTCGGCCAAGCTGAATCGATTGCCGAGGTGTACAAAACCCACATCGATCGGGAATGCGGCGAAAAATATTTTTGAAGGTGTTCCCGAACCAACTGTTTTTGTACTGTTGTTTAGGCGTTCTTCGGGTGGTTCTGAATGCGAAAAGAAACGGTTTTGAAAAATCTCATTTTTTGCAGCTGCGCTGGGCGTATGCGCTCAGTTGCGGATGGCGCCTACAGCAGGAGTTTGTTGTTGTTGTTTCTCACATTAGCTCTATAGTCCACAAAAAATGGGGAGCCCGTGGTCTCAAAACCCGGCACATACGACGCCGCGAGAAAACAAAAAACAAAAATAGGATACAAACCACTCGGAAAAAGAAAACAAAATGATCGAAAGAAAGAAAAGAACAGGTATCGCACCTACTGTTCGAGAAAAGAGCCCTCGGACACCGATGAGTGATTTCGACCAATCAAAATCGACCTAGCCGGCGATTCAGTCTGCAGTTTCGCCGTCCCTAGGGCGCCTTCCGGGATATGCCGGGGAGGGGTTGAGATTGATAATGTTGCCAAACCACCTAAGCTCTGAAAATTCAGTTGTGGGTTGCTCTCGGTGTGTAGATGCGATATTCGGTCTCAGATTTTTAATCCGGGGTTGGGAAGGTGGGTTTTCAGCGAAACTTGGTGATTTGTCTTACTCAATGTATAGGGACACGCAAATCAGGGGACACGAACTTTCTGTCCCCCCCCGGGGACAAAACGGGGATTTGCCCATATCTTGCCCATTTTAAGCGCTTTTTTGACCGCTGTTCCGGTAGAACAAACCCTACAATTTTTGCAAACTTTGCTGGCCACTTCCGACCAGGGGACACGAACTTCATGTCCCCCCCCGGGGACAAAACGGGGATTTGCCCATATCTTGCCCATTTTATGCACTTTTTAGGCCGTTGTTCCGGTAGAACAAACCCTACAGTTTTTGCACATTTTACTGGCCACTTCCCACCAGGGGACACGAAATTTGTGTCCCCCCCCGGGGACAAAACGGGGATTTGCCCATATTATTACCACCAAGAGTAAAGGGTAGCGCACAATACTTGCAAACGTTGCGTTCGACACCACACCAGAAAAAGCAAGAAGAACAACAAACGTCGACGAGTTCCATTCTTGTGGTTGGCAGCCAACACATCCATCCATCCCTAGCCCACCTCCGGGAACCTCTTCTTCGCGATACTTACGCGACCTCTTGAGCTTACGTATTGCGCTTCCTCCCGCTCCCCCTCCTCCTCCCCCTCCTCCTCCTCCTCCTCCTCCCCCTCATCGTCCTCCTCCTCTCCCTCATCTTCCTTCTCCCCTCCCCCACCCACCTCCCCCATGCTCTCGTCAAGCGTAGGCGCCACTGGGGACTCGTCCGAAGATATGACCGGAAGAATAACGCCGGTCAATTGAGTCCCAAGCGTGCGTCTCCCAACCATCTCTTTTCCCGACTTCTCCATCACCTCGCCAACCAAGTCGGGGTACACCTTCGCTACCATGCAGTCACCGTAGCAGCCTATTCGGCAAGTCGAGCAGTAGCACGATGCGCCCCGAACCCGCAACTTCCAAGATCTGGTGAACTTCTTGGGGGCGGCCCATTTCCTTGCCCTGGACTCGTCTACCACCCACTTCCTAGCCGTCAACACCTTGTCTCCGNGACTCAAAACTCACCGCTTCCTCCCTCGAAGTCTCTGGGGTAGCACCGCTTCTGGTCCCGCCATCATGAGCCAATGCTAGAGGGTCGGAGAGAGCTGCGTCCGCCCCCTTGCGCTTCGCCTTCTTCGCCGCAGCAGATGAAGCAGCAGCAGCAGCAGCAGGCTGTCGTTTCCCGCGTTTCGATGCTCTCTCTCGGATGCCTTCAACGTGCTCTCTACCCTTTTCGAGGAGCTCAACTTCATCAGCAACCACAGATTGCACAGGTTTTCCAGCTGCCTCGGTGGTACCCTTTCTCAACAGCTGGCTGATTAGCAGTATCCCGCGGATGTGGTTCTTCCGCTGCTGTCTCACTACCCTCTCTTCCCCTCGGATTTCGATTGTGCGGTCTACCTCCATGAGGCTGCCACGAGCCACGGCCAGGCCCAAGTCGGGACGGCCGTCCTAGAACGAGATTAGGTCTGATGACCTCGAGAGTGGTCTCCTCTGTATGTAATTCGACCAAGCGGAGTCGATTGCCGTGGAGAACAAGGCTTGCGTCGGCGATGTTTGCGGTGAAACAGGATGCGCCGCATCGTTTATCTTGAAAAATGTGGGGGAGATTTTTTTTTTTTTCGTGTTTTTTTTGTCGTCGGTTGGTCTCGCCGAAACGTTTCTAGAACCGGTCTCCATTTTTCATACCGACGAAAACTCGTTCTAGGACGCAATTCTCCGGCATATACCGGAAGGCGCCCTAGCTCTCTCGTTTGCCTCCTGCCTATACCCTCTCGCACCCACGCGCTCATTTCTGAGTCATTTCTGAGGTGAGACAAGCTTGTCGTTGCGGTGTGCCCTATGGAAGTTCGGTGGGGTCGTTCTCTTCCTGGTCACTAGACATGGGTTGGTTGTCCTTGTCAACTCCGGTATGTGCACACTGCTGTGGCACAGGGTATGATGTCGAGAAGACTAGTCTATTAATAGAACAAGTCAGCTCATCAACTTCGGCAGCTTGTGAACAAGGGCGCTCAGGGTAACTCATGAGCATCCGCCTCTCGCATGCTAGTGCTTATCCATGGAGCGGAACGCACGCAATGTCGCCGCGGCGGTCCCGCGGACACGCGTGAGTTATTGCGTCTTCGTGGAGCGGAGCACAGAGAAGCAAGTTGTGGTTTCCGCCACCATTAGTCGACCCCCTGGCCAGTTTCAGCACCGCCGTTTACACACACGTGACACACCGGCAGCGGCAAATCGAGGCTATTCAGCGTGTACAATAGGAGTCAGATAAAGGAGCCCAGCAACACTCTCTCTTTCTCTCTCTCTCTCTCTTTGCCTGTCTACTCCGATTCAGCAACAGAAGCTCATTGGCTGTTTTGAAAGCAAGCCGACGAATATCGTCAGCATTGCTAGTCTCAAGCAGGCTTCATGTATGTTTGGGTTATTGATCCAGTCTTGAGAACGGAAGCGGGGTCGAACTCCTGGTGTACGCATGAGTGGTACGCATGCTTCAGGAGGGTTGTGACGCTGGTTTTTACACCTTGTGACAGCAGTCCCGAAAATTGAGACAAAGGCCAACACTACACGGTACCGTCTCATTCCTTGCTCTTTCCTTTTATTTCTTGGCTTTTTCTCTCTTGTTTCTCTCTTTTTCTGTGTCAGATGGCCTAGTCTCTGCTTGTGTTGCGAAGGATTAAGACTGGACCAAGGAGGTGTACCTCTTTCCCTCTGGCCCGTGATCCTGACTCCTAGTCTCAGTTATTTCCTCGCATAGCGCGCAGAGGGAGCGGAGGACTCCAAAATATCTATCGTTGATTTCTATCGACTTGCGGACCCCTCGGGGCCATTGTATTTGAGCGTACCTTGTTAAGGTGAGCTAGCCTGTGACCACGGCAATCGACCGCGTCAAGTGTTGGGATCAGTACGGACATGTGAAGGTACTGGGTAGTAAAGAGAGATCGGAACGGTTTTCAATGTGAAGACAACAAGAACACCCGAGCAAAAATAGATTCGTTCAGTACGCTCCAGAAAAGATTTTTGGGTTGTGCAATGGCAACCCAAGAAGCTGCTCATCACACAGGCGGTTTCGATGCCCGAGTGTGTCTGTTGTGCGGCGGCCCAGCGGTTGATGCACAATCGCATATGGAATCTACTGCATGCGATGTCCGAGTACTGCTGTATTTGGACATACGCTGTAATTGGACATCTTCTTTTTACAGCGGTAGGGCTCCGATCTTCTAACGCCCGCAGACATGTACTACTGTATGATAGCAATACGCGAAACACGACACCTGCCCTGAACATATCCCAATTTATCCATGTGGGCTAAGTATTGGTCTTGCAGCCAGTCCTCGCCAGTAGACTGGTGTGCCTACGGCTGTATCCTAGTTCGATGGGGTGTTATTTATTTTCGCTTCCTAGATGTTCGGCGTGATTTTTTAAGTTGCGCAAGCGATGCGGATATCTGCTGGAGATTGCACCGCTTGTAAGGCCTCCCTTTGGGATTGGGCGTCAAGCCCCCCGGGGGTGGCGCAAGATGACATGCCCGAAAGTTCTCTCATGGGTTGGTGCATCTCAATGATCGGTAGATACTTGAAAGGTTTTGGTTTTCTGTGGAGCATCTTAGTGTTCGGCAGATCGATCGAAGGGTTTCTTTCAGCCGGTCCGAGCGGACAACGTGCGAGATTCAGAAAAGAATATGCCGGCTTCTGGTTCGGCGTTCTTTCCGACTCGTTGTTGCGACGAAAGTCTAGACGGGGTGACATCACAACGGCTCGCGATACGAAAGTCTATTCTCACAGCACACGGCTGCTTCGGCGCAAACGAAGAATTGATAAGCCGAAGTCATTCAACAAATAAAATCCAACCAACTCGGTAGAGGTTCGGTCCCCGTCGCCTGACGTTACTTCGACCAATAACGTGCAGTCTTACTCAATCCCGTCTCGTCGAACCTGTCTCCGTTCTGCTCACGTGCCTCTCGTCAGGTGTAAATTCCGTTGATCCATTCAAGAATCATCATGGGGCTACCTGATGGTTGTTTGGAGGGAGCCGTGGGCGGTGCAATCCTGGGTATCACGACTACGGTAATGCTGGCGGCTACAGGTAAGACTTGAATTGCCGTTCGTACAACACGAAACCACAGCGTTGATAACGGCGATCAAAGCCCGTCCACGAACCAAGAACAGTCAACGGGCGGCGGTGAGATGTGCGAGCGAAATATTGCAACGTTGGCGAAAGATCCCCCGTCTCCCAGGTGGTTAGAGGATGTCACACACCTTCTGGCAAATCTTGAGGCCTTAGCGGGCTTCGAGTACTGTTTGCTGTACCCGGGTGTGACTCTTCGGCCCAAAACATCGCGTAAAGTCCTGGGGCTACGATCACCGCCCGGATGGCATTTCTGCCGTTTCCATCTTCTCCCAGTTGCTTTCTATTGATGTGATCGCCCTGTTTTTGATCCGACCGTTTGCGGCTTGAAATCACAGCTTTGCCCTTTTGTTTCGCTAGCAGCCGTTCAGGCACACCCATTCGCCGGCGGGTCGATGTTCTTATCGCTCGCTGCTTTAGGAAATGTGCAGATGCTTTCTTAGGCGCCGGGTATTTGGTACGTTGAGGCAACCGCCACAACACTTTTTACCGCGTGCTGTATCTTGGATGTGTGCACCTAGATTTTCAGGTGACGACGAAGTCACATCCTCGAGAACACTCTCACGCCAGCTTGTACTACAGGGGATGTTTTTCTTGAAAACGGGTCGTTACTGCCCACGTGTCGACGAACACCTTCTTATCGTTTTTGTTCCTCCAAACCGAACGGTGAGGGGAAGCTTCGAGTTCAGGGCTTGTGTTGGCATCAACTGACCCCGCGGCGCACTACGTTTTTGGGATCGTCATGTCGTGGAAGTTACCGTTCGTTCGGCGGTGGTAGAGTATTTTCTTGGGGGCATTCGCCACGCACGAAACAGGTAGCTCGATTGCAACGGCACATGAGGTCTCCATCGAACAGACGACATGCCTCCACATTGAAAATTCTCTCGCTCTGACAGGCCAGCTGAATGGTCAACGTGCAGAACTGTCATGCAACGTATGCTACAATCTCAGAGGTGCTTGTAGTTTTTTTCTGATGTCAGGGTGGCTCTAGGTGTCGTACCAAAATACCCGATACCCGACGAAACAACATGGCCTGTCCGTTCTGTCAGTATAGCGATGACCCTCGCCCTCAGCGCTTGAACTTGTGCGTGTCGCATGGCGAGTAACGCTGGAATTGTCAAGAAACAACCCCAAATGTTGTTTACACATAGCTACATATTGCATGATGGGCGCCCTGAGTAGGATCGGTACATCTTCTGTATTGCCAGACACGATGATATCAATGGCCAACTGGCATTGTGCAGCAAGAACACACAATCCCCCCTCCCCCCCGACTTCTCCCCCCTTCTCGCGACCCCCGATCGCATTGGGATTGGGTTTTCGTCCCTTGGCAACGACGTTGTAAAACACGCGGATCACTTCGTGAGCTCGGCAACGAGATTACCCCCTTTTTTTTTACCTTTATACTTCTTTTTTGCGGTCACCATGATGGTGGTCGAGTAGATCATGTTGTGCGGGATCGACAACCCTCACTCCCCGCAATGGGGATGATCGCACCACGTTGACGTTGTGTGTAATTGATCAAGCACCCTCGAGGCAGGTTCACCTCTGGAAGTTAAATCACCAGAAAATAGTCTAAGTGATGCGCAGCTGTCGTCCGTACGCGATGAAGTAAGCACAAGATGCCGAACACCCTCAGCAAGATGCAGCGCACCCTTCATGCGTCTCGCCGAATATCTCACGGTGCTTCGCGCTTTGTGATGTGAGAGCCTGGTCCGGTGAGAACCCGGCGTGCTCCGTCCCGGCTTCGTAGGGATGCGAGGTCAATGGTCTGAGGACTACGGCATGCACGACCATGAGTACCCTCCCACTCCCGACCTCTCCCGCCGTTCTGCTCTGCACGACCGCCAGGAAAGCTGGCCGGTCTGAGCGGCATCTTCGACGGAGTCTTTTCGCGGACGCCCGGACGGGTGAGCCAAATCGGCAGAATTTGAGAGTCTGCGAGGCAGATGGAAGCTTCTCAAGTCATTGCCATCCACGTGGTACACCAGAGTTTCCCGTACAGGAACGTTCAGACTGTTTGCTCATCAACATTACATTTCCATGTCAAGTTTATCTCGGGAGTGGCAGTTGACAGTGGCAGTGGTAGTGGCAGTAGTATTTGGGGGTGGTAGGCAATGGAAGTGCTGCTTCTCCTACCCGATAATGGGTAAGTTTCTACCGATGTCAGGCCGGAAGAGAATCGAATCATCGTGTCGTGAAGAACACCGAAAGCTTTTTCCGGCCAGGATGAGGTGTACTGCAGCCCCTCCCCTTATTCTCTGTGCCCAGCCTCCCCTGCCCCTATCACCTCGGCCACGACCCTAATATCAAACGCTTCCCTTTGCTCTTTGCCGTGTTTGTTCTTGTGACTTAGGGCTGGAAAGTGCTCTTCTTATCGGGTTTTATCGTGGGAGGCGTTGTCGCGGGAATCGTTTACCCAGGTATTTGCCAACGACTACTACTGGACACGGACCAACGTTCCCCGCACCCTATGGTAGCTTCGAACCGTTTATAATACGACCAGAAGGCGAGAAGGGTTTGTGGGGAGGAATGTGTTTCTGCACAGCATCTTCGTAAGGTACAGAAGCGATACCAACATGTGGTTACCAACGTTTTACGATGTTTGAGTGTATTTTTGTCGCTCAAGCTCCCATGCCAAGCCAAGCCCGCGGTATGCCGCCTATCGAATTTGTCGTTCACCGCTGAGGCTTGTTTCTGGCGGTCCGCGACAGTTAGCAGGATTGCCCCCACGGTTCTTTCGCCCGTCTCACACACCATCCCATCTCCGTTTTTGACAAATGCCGCAGCAATTTTGTCGCTTGGAAAGCGCTCACTCTGCATCCCCAACACCGCACGCACGCGAACACACCATCCCTTCCACCCCGCCCGCCCCTTTCGCCAAAATCGCGTCACGCCACCAACACCTGTAGCTGGTCTAGACCAGACCGGTGCCCCTGCTTTGTCTCTCCTGCGGTTCGCGGTCGCGGGTTTTCTCGTGGGCTTGGGCACCAGGCTTGGCAGCGGGTGCACGAGCGGGCACGGGCTGTGCGGTCTGCCGCGGCTGTCGAGGCGCAGCATCGTCGCAACGCTCACGTTTCTCACCAGGTATATATGTTGGCACACCATGGATGCACGCTTTGGGGGGGGGGGTTGTGGCTGTTGGTTTTATTTGTGTTTGGGGGACAACTGGCGGATGTGTTTCGCAAGAGCTTTGGTGGCGTTCTTTTTCGTGTGCCATTCTAGTCGGTGAAACCGAGTGTGGTAAACGGTCGGAAGAGATTCGCCCAACAGGTAACGTGTTCGCAATTCGTTTCCCCGGCTGGTTGTCACGGAGGTCGGCGGGAATGTGGCCTGAGTACCTGATTTATGTTTCTGCCGGCGGATAAACCCTTTTTAACCTCAGCTGTACCTCATTTCTAGTTGAAAGTCTTCGGGGGACGACGTTGCGGTTTTTTCTCATTTAGGCTTTTTTGTGTTTTATCACGTGCAGAACGGTCCCGGAGATAAGAAACGTCGAATTCGGGCCGAGGTTCAGTTTTCTCACTTTGTCTCCATTGTCAAAGCACAGCTTGATGTATTCTGATACCGGTCTAGTGAAAGGATCCCCACCGCTGAGGTTCGCCTTAATAAGCCCTATTTTCATTATTTTCTGTAGGAAAAGAGCCTCTGGTTCTCAACGAAATGTGTAGCAGTTACACCGATGGGGCTGCTGGTCGCGGCTGTTGCCTGCGGACCCTGTTGTTCCTGCTCCCGCCCTTGGACGCAGCTGGTTACGGCTGACGTTTACGACTGGTTCGATCTACTGCTGTTTTCATGGCTGATTGGATCGGTTGCTGTTTTTATTTCTGTCACCGGTCGATCAGCGGCATCGCGGCGGCAAGCGTGTCGGCGGCCTGGAATGACAGCGCCAGCGGAGGGGCTGTGCTCGAAACGCACGTAAGTATACGTCGCCAATGTTGGCAACAGTTCGACCATGTTTGACCCTTTTTTCTCTATGCTGAAGACTCCGTTTTTGGTGTTCTTTTGCTTGCTCAGAACAAGGCGGCTTTTTTGCGATCGGGAATGTGCATCTATCAGGATTGCGCGCGCGCTTGACAGCGTTCCTCGTGTCCTTGCTGGTCAGTCATTAATAGTTAAATCCCCTCTACACTCCGCTGTACACACCGAAAGCGTGCAATGAATATAGTGCCACCTTCAAGATATCCTTTGTGGTGTAACCCACCAGCGACTGCTGTAGAGGTTTGCGTAACTCTTACCTACAAACATACTCTTATGATGGAATTCTGAAGCATGTATTTCAATAGTGCTTGTGTCGTGAATATCTGAACTGGTGGTTCGTTCTGTGCCATCAAGTTGCCCCCAATATTTGTGAACTGTTGGTTTTAGCACAGCACCGGTCTCATCTGTCTACGCACTGGCCTTACGTACCACCCTCCCGGCCCGCCGATAACTCACGCTAATTTTTGATGTGGAAAATCATGCCCAACCCCCCCGTTCCANCCCCCCCCCCCCCCCCCCCCCGCCCTAGGAGACGCCCATGCTGGCGGCGAGGTACGCATCCCTCGCGGCAGCAGCTGTGGGCACACTTCTTACCCTGACCAAGCGGTATGAAGTAGGATGGGTCCTGTCGTTTATTTGCAAGTTGTGTTAGGCAGGCATGCTTCTTTCTTGTATGCCCAATCGCGCAGATTTGAACGCCGGTTTTAGTAGACCTCAGCAGGTATGCGATAGCCACCTTTTCACGTTGTTTCTCGACGGCTGGCCTCCCTTGACGATCGTGTCGACCTTGCTTTGGGCGGGCCTTTTTTTTTCTGAGTACCAGCAGTGTTCCGTAGTCTGTGAAGTTGATTTTTCATCTCCGAGACTTTTTGTGGCGACCACTCCGTTCGTGCTTCATTTTCAACAACTTCTCATGAGGGCGATTTCATGTCCTCGCGCAACAAATGTTTTGGACCTCGGTAGTCATCAGGAAGCCTCGTTATTCTACAGCTATATTGCAGAATAGAATGTCACCACCCAGTTATTCTACAGCTATACATATTGCAGAACAGATTGTCATCACCCAGAGCGGACGTTTCCTCTGTGTCGCCTTCTCATGAAGTTTTCTGATATTTTCTCCCACGTGGATTCCACCTTCCAAAACCCGCACGAAAAAATTCCCATATCGTGGATGTTGGTGTTTTTCTTGCAACACAGAGAGGAACGTGCACAGTGGAAGGCACACCTCGCGTCCTTCCTGTGCGGAGGCAGCTTCGCCGGAGGGCTCGTGATTTCAGGCATGACCCAGCGTGCCAAGGTCGTCAACTTCCTCGCGCTCAGGTGCCCTATGAGCTATTTTGGCTGAACGACAGACGGGCATTGGCTTTGTATCGACGGCTACCGTGCCGCAAATGCCCTCGTCGTTGTGTTGACCTGATTTTTTTCTCGCTGCACGATAACCACGACGGCCTCAGACTGACAAGGTTTTTCGTCGATAGGCATGTTGTTGGTGTACTTGTTGACGTTGTCAGTCATGTCGGCTTGATGTTAATTGTCGGAAGACGGCTGCTGCAGTCTGTGCAGTTGCTTGATTTTTTGTTTTGCGGGTACTTGTGTCGGTCTTAGACGCTCTTCGGCCGCCTGGCACGACGGTATATTCATTGTTGCCTGCTGATTGCAGCCCTCGGCCTCGTCGAGCCTATGCTCATTACCTAATTACTTGAACGGCAGCGTTCCTCGCAACAGTCCGGCGATCTTTTGTCCTTTGTCCGTTTTGTGCCGGTTGTCTCAGCTGTTTTGCTTTGACGGTTCGTCCTTCGATGCCCGTCTCAGCTCCCGGGTGCTGCTTGGCTGGCACAGCCGTTGTTGCATCACTATTTGCTCCACAGGCGCCGTCCGCTTGCTTTGTCTTTAGTTTTGGAGTCGCAGCTGCGCTGTGTGTGGCCAGCACTTACATACCTCTCCACCCTCTACCCTTTCCTGTTTCACCCCTATATCGCGCTGACAGGCGCAACAGCTGGGACCCGTCCCTGATGTTCGTTCTCGGCGTCGGCGTGATGGTCGGTCTCGTGGGCTTCCCCCTCGTCACCAGAAGCCTCGGCGCGCCGCTGTGCCGTCTCCCGGCCAAAGCGGAAGAGGAGCAGTCGCTGGCTACCGGTGCGCCGCTCGCTGAGAAGTTCGAGATCCCCACAGGCACTGAGGTACTCGGTTCAACTTCATCCGTCCTGCTGAACACGTGTTTCTTGCCGTGTGTACATTTCTTTTTTCCACGGCGGGAGCAAGTGGTTGGGGCGTCGTAGTAAGGTTTTCTAGTAAACCAGACGAGAAACGCTGCCATTTTCGCTGTTCGAGCCGTTGTTTAAGTCTTCTGTCCGATGCTTGGTTCTCTTCCGGTTAAGTTGAGACAAACAATCAAGGCCACAGGCAGGCCGCGAAGTGGCCGTAGTTTCCGAGTGCCTCCAAGGTGCTGTTGTATTTGTTGGGTCCGGAGGCACCCGGTGCGAAGTATGCGATAGGTTTAGGTTCAACATTAACGTGGTTGGTAAGTGGACTATCTGTTGATCGTTATACTTCACAGATGGAACTGGGTCGTATCTTCAACAGTTCTTAAGGACGACGTTCCTGGTCTGCGACACATCACCCCGCCTTCCGATCGTCTTTCGTCAATCTCTCCCCTTCCGTAGTTGGACGTGCCGCTGGTGCTGGGGGGCTGGCTGTTCGGCATCGGTTGGGGAATGGGCGGACTCTGCCCTGGCCCCGCTGTAGTTGCGGCGACGTTCGGTCTCCCCGGCCCGTTCCTCGCCTTCATGCCTTCCCTTGTGGTAGGAATGAAGGTGAGTTGTACTGTAGCTGTCGTTGGCTTGGGGGCTGTGGTGTGTTGCGGTTTCCCCCCTCCCGTTTCGCAGCTTTTGTCCTTGTCTCGCGATAATCACGTCGAACATGTCTCCCCGCGGAAATGTTTCGTGTCATGTTTCGCTCATCGTGCTGGCCTCATTCAGCGATTTCCCTGCGGCACCTCTCCTTTTTTCGATTTTGCGGTGCCCTCTGCTGTCGCCTGATGGTTCGTTAAGTATTGTTCTATTTTTTGCCGTTCCATGAAGATCCCCGACAGTTTTGTCTTGTACCCGGTGGCCACGACCTCATCCATCTTTCCCTGGCTGGATCTGGTCGGATATTGTAGAAGCATGTGTTTTCCCCTAAAGCTTCCCGCGTGCACGTGTTGGCAATGCTCTGTCCTCGTCCTCCCACCGCCGCTGGGTTTCGCGACTGCACGAAACTCACCGTTTCCGGCTGAGCGTTCTGTCTGTTGTCCCGGGACAAATGTCACAGGCGGCTGGGCGGCTCAAGGGCGCCCTGTCTCTTCCCCACCCAAGCTGGGTGACGGGAGGTAAGAGCAATGCTTCGTGATGCGCTCCGATGGACACGCTTGGGGGGGCTAGGTCGAAAGATAGGGTCATGGGATGAAGCCAACTCAACTTTTCGCCGCAATCGCGAGATGTTCCTGGAATGAATCTCTCTACACCGCTGTCACCGACACTTTGGCGCGGTCGATATGCCCACGTTTCTGTCTCCCCCGGCTGCGCAGCTGGAGCAGCAGTAGCAGCGTAACGAATGGTTGCTTGGCAGTACCTCTCACTGCATTAGGGTGGTTGTTTCGCATTGCCCTCCCCAGTTTGGTATGTAGAGTACGGTAAGGTGTTTGTCATGCCTCGCATGGTTGATTTCACACCCATCGGTGTCATAGCACCGGGGTGCGCATTAATGCAAGAACCGCATGTTTTAATTGCAACGCCGCAACGGCATCGGCGTCAACGCACCCGGTGAGATATCAACGATATAATTTCTAAATTGGTATTAAAATTACATCTGCTTGGGACGTAAATATGCGTGCTTTGGCATTGTTCAGGTACTCTCCGGGCCACGTATTAGCGAGCGACTATAAGGTGCCGGTAGGTATCGATTGGGGCGCCATGTCTTTGCTGGATGTACATGTGTGTCGTAGCGTCGATGTGTGCGCGTAGAAATGACCACCGTGATTTCTTCCGTATCGCGCCCGTCGGTCTCCTCGCACCTGGGGTTCGTTGGAGATCTACCGGTAGGACGAAATGGTGTAGTGTCATTTTCGCACCGGTGTCGGTGTTAAGGCACCGGCGTGCAATAGGAAAGATCAGAAAAACTTGCGCACCCCGGTGCCATGACACGGCACTTTCATGTGCACAGAGCGGGCCCACGGTCCACGGTTTGGAAATATTTTGTTGAGAACCAAAGACTCAGATTTTTTTCACGAAAAATGTGGATATCGTTCATTGAGAAACACGCCAGCGGTGGATCCTACCTCAACCTCTTTTCAACAGCCTGTGCTCGACAGTTGCGCGACGAAATAATAGAAGCGAATGCTCGGCCGAATGTCGACGGATTTTGACGGTGCTTTGTCTCCTGACCCGTTTTGAAATGTTTCCCCAAATCTCTCAACTTCAGGTGCGGTCCTGCCGCCCAACGTGACTCAAGTTGTCCCATTGTCTGGCACTTGAGGCCAGAAGTCGAAGAGAGCCATCATTTTCTTTCCTTGCCTTTCCGTCGCGGCGTGGAGAAGGGACGTCTTTGGTTGATTCTCCTCAACGGCGGTGGCATTTCACCTCAAGGTTCTTGTCACTTTCGGAACCAACTCGAGATGGCCCCCATCGTCCGAGCAACTGATAACGTTAATTAGAGACGAGGACGATGAGGGAGCATGTGGATAGGTGGCTCTTGATGGAAGGAGGCAACAGAAGACGGTGCAGCAGCCGAGGACACCCCACACCTGTTGCCCACATGTGTAGCCATCATTTCTCTTCCTCTTTGTACATCTAGTGTTATGATACGTCGTATTTTAGGCCCGGTTGGCAAGCGAAGTGGCGTGGCGTGGGGCGTGTGATGCTACGGTACCGAGATACGACGGTCGGTACCCGGCAGAACGATGAACTTCGCGCTTGGGTAACGAGTAGGCATGAAACGCAGAGCTTGGCAAGCTGCAGTTAGTTTCAATCTCACACATTGTAGTCAGTTGATGTGCAGGCACACTTGTAGTTTTTTTTTTTTTCATTTAGGTTGATAACTTAGGCTGAAAGATTGACGACGAACCAACATTGTGACCATTTACATTCTGAAGCCCGATAGGGGTTTTCGTTGTTGAGTTGGTTTTAGAGTCGGCGATCTCCCTGTGTGTTGACTAAAAGCTGGTTGTTTTTCTTCGGTCGATGTTCGCGAGGTTACTCTGTGTGATGTCCGAGTGACGTGGAAAGAGGTGGGCCTTGCCTTATCCAGAGGCTATCTGGTTGTGTACTTGGCCATGCATGAACTGCCTCTTCCTCGCCGGGCCCTGTTCTCGTTGGCCGCAGCTACGCATGGTCATGCACTGTTTCCTCTCGCACGCATAAGGTATGAAATGCCGATGCTACATACGACTGCCTGCCCTTATTGGTGCACATCAACCTACTATTGTACTACTGGGGGCAGAACATGACCCGGACCACATTCATCTCCTTTCGGCGCAATTTCGTTTTGAGAAACGACAAGGTTTCCCTTGCAGACTGGCCGCCCGCCCAATCAGTAGGAGAGGCGGCGTGCACTACGCCATAACGGTGCACCTTTGAAGGTCGCCCCTGTCATCGTGTTCCTCTCTCTGCCAAATGTGAAAAAATATTCCAGTAGGTCGGACAAGACAAGTACAACAGGAGAATGACGTTACATAATTTGCCCGATCGGAGCCAAGCGGAATGAGAAGGTAGTGGCCAGAGACAGGCTTCAACCTCTTGCAACAGGGTTGGTCAAGTCGCCCTTCTCAGAACCACATGATCGGTGCTGAAAACGGTTCACCGTGAAACCTCAAGGCTAGGAAAGTTCTCTCCCGGCATGTGGCCAGGACAACCACATTCCCAGCATTTTCCTCTTGCGACCCAGTTGATCGTCATCTCTTCTCTTTGCCAACGTGCCTGCAAACGTGGCCCCGTTTCGGCGTGAAAAGGCATGCAAGGCCAGGCGGTCGCTTCTCGTGTGGAATATATTCTACAGTAGTCCATCCCACCACCACCAAGTAGCCAACTGCACCGGTGAACTTGTGGGTACTCGCAGTACGTTCAACAACAATTTTTCAAAAGTAGCGGTAGAAAAAATGAAAAGTACCACATGAACAATAAACATAACCATCATCGCGGCAAAGAACACAACTACCATCGCTCGCCTCAAGGTAGATGCCCCCTTCTGGAATAAAGGAAACCTGACTTGCTCCAATCTTCCAGAACCTAGTCCTGGCCTGGTGTTTCTTTTCCGGAGGCACTCAGCTTCAAACGCAATAGCCATGTGGGAACCCTGAACCACTCGTAGGAGTCCTGGCCGACCTGGTGTACGCTGCCAGGGATCACTGTCTCCGTATGTGTGTTGGATGAACTTGCAAGGACAGTCAAGGGACCTGTGTACACTGCCAGGTATAAGGTCAATCGTAGTCACTCTGGGTAAAGGAGAGTGTGGGCTGTGGAATGAACGTGAACCAATCGTCAACACAACAACAACAACAACAACAACAACAACAACAACAACAACAACAACAACAACAACAACAACAACAACAACAACAACAACAACAACAACAACAAACTAACCATAACCAAGAAGTCTATCTTAACGAACGGTGGAATTGTCCAACTCCGCAAGCCATTTCAGCTCTCCCACGGTAACGAGCTCCTTCACGAACGCTTGCACAAAAGCTGGTCACGAAATTCCGTCTGATGGCTACTTCTTTATGAAGGGAGTAGTCTACTTCGTGCTCACGCCCCCGCGCCTGTTGTGTTGAGGCTGCGACAAGCTAGACATGTGAAGCCTTTGCGACTTTCACTAATGAACAGGTAACGTCGGGACGATTTCGTTTCAGAACCATTACCGTCCACTAGCCTATACCATGCTGTAGAATTTCAAGTAGCAATGCTACTGAACGCGAACAGATATCGCCCCTGGGCGCTTTTGTGTACGTGAGACGAAAACACTAGCAGCACCCTCGTGCGAAGCTCTTCATCGGCCATCACTCGCTCATTCGACCCCCCCGTCTGCCCCCCCCGGTGTTTACCATCGGGGTTGGGTTTTCATCGCTTGGCAACGACGTTGCAAGGCAAGCCCCCCCATCGGTGTATGCTCGGGATTGAGTTTTCGTCGCTTGGCAACGACGCTGTAACACAAGCCAAGTCACTTCGAGAACTCGGCAACCAGGTTACCGGTTTCTTTCTTACCTCTGCTTTTTTTTGGCGGTAACCATAGTGGTGGTCGAGTAGATCATGTTGTGCGGGGTCGAGAACCCTCATTCCGCGCAAGGGGAATGATCGTACCAAGTTGTGTTAAAAGGTCAAGCACCCTCGAGGCAGTTACAAAGTGCTTACAACTGTCTCTGGAAGTGAAAGCACCAGAAAATAAATTAAGTCATACGCAGCTGTCATCCGTACGCAAGGAAGTAAGCACAAGATGCCGAAAACCCTTAGCAGGATGCAGCGCACCCTTCATGCGACTCGCCGAATATCTCACGGCGCTTCGCGCTTGGTGATGTGAGAGCCTGGTCCGGTGAGAACCCGGCGTGCTCCGTCCCGGCTTTGTAGGGACGCGAGGTCAATGGTCTAACGACTACGGCATGCACGACCATGCGTACACCCATCGGTGTTTGCCGTCGGTCGGGATGGAGTTTTCGTCGCTCGGCAACGACGTGGTAACACAAGCCAATTCACTTCGTGAGTTCGGCAACCAGGTTACCGGTTTCTTTCTTACCTCTGTTTTTTTTGGCGGTAACCATAATGGTGGTCGAGTAGATCATGTTGTGCGGGATCGAGAACCCTCACTCCGCGCAAGGGGAATGATCGCACCGCGTTGTGGTGAATTGGTCGAGCACCCTTGAGGCAATTACAAAGTGGATATGACTGTCTCTGGAAGTGAAAACACCAGAAACTAAATTCAGTCACACGCAGCTGCTATCCGCACGCATCCGCACGCAAGGAAGTAAGCAAAAGATGCCGAAAACCCTTAGCAGGATGCAGCGCACCCTTCATGCGACTCGCCGAATATCTCACGGCGCTTCGCGCTTGGTGATGTGAGAGCCTGGTCCGGTGAGAACCCGGCGTGCTCCGTCCCGGCTTTGCAGGGATGCGAGGTCCATGGTCTAACGACTGCGGCATGCACGACTATGGGTACACCCGCCCCCCCCGAACATAGAAGGGGGGGACCCCAATATTCCACCCGAAGCATTGTCGAAGGCATTTTCAGCATTGCCCTCCGCGCACCGGGTACTGACCACAATCCCCACCCCCAAAATGCTTATCCCATACTCTCCTTTTCGCGGGCGTGAAGTCCAACATTTTGGTTTGGCAGCAGCACAGGTTTTTTCACTCCGCATCTTGGTTGAAACAGGGGAGAGAACGTCACATTGGTACTTGCTACCCCAGCCACCATGAGGACACGACACGTAGCAAAAATGTATCCTTGGACCAAGGGCGCCATATTGGAATGCCAGATACGTGTGGCATCGGGGTGCTTGCCGGGTGAACAATGTTCCCACGGTGTCGACATTCCAGGTGATGATGAACTCTTCAGAGAAGGGTACGATCTGATCACTTCAGAATATTTTGGATTCAGCGAGTGAAGCGGCACTACAGTAGCGCACCTAGTGAAACAATCCGGGTGCATCGAGCCCATCTACTGAACTTCACTCGCATCCCTAATGCAACACTGGTTGGACAACATGTCCATCGACAAAATCAAAGTCCACATTGCTTCCGCGCATCCAATCGCTTCCGTATCTAAACATACGCAGCCATGGCCGACCCCCGGCCTCCGCAAAGGAAGGATCAGGGAACATGTTACACCTGCGGGATGCTCTCTGATGATGAGGTAAGAACAGCGGGTGGCATCGGCTGGTCTCCGCAGGTAGCGAAGGAGCTCATGGCCATGATGAACGCAGGCAGCGAAACAAGTTAGCAAATCGTGACGAACCAGCACGGCAATGCGCACATTTTCTTTGTCGTCCGAAGTGAGGGACGACAACAGTTGCATGGTTCCCTGCAATTGCTTCAACATGAATCTCCGGAACCCCGTCGTATTCATTCATGTTTCGTGAGGGCCTTCGTTTAGGGCCTTTCGAGCGGATTCCAGATCCCCGAATACTATGCCCGAGACTGCTCCGTGTTCTGTGCTCGGGCTCGGGGCTGGCTACAGGAGTGAGTGTGGCACAAAACGCAATGTCCCACCACCTACAACACTTCCAACCAAAAGTCTGCGAGCTGGGCCGAAATCAACGTGTGTTGTCACGGCTGTCTGTGCTCACCGGCGTGGGTTCCAATCTTCTGAACTGCGGGTCACACAAGGGAGCCAGTGGCATGAGCTATGTAGTAGGGTGGATAGGCCGAGGCACGAATGAATGTCTCTGAAATGTCGGCGATTCCCGCGAATGGTTGATGCCGTCATCAATCAAATGTATGTTTTCACAACAGCACAGGCGTTTCCCTCGGCGTCTTGGTTGAAACAGGGTTGGGAAAGTGACAGAAACCATCACTGAACGACGCAAGACTCGCTACTCAAGCCACAATGAGAGCACGACTCGTAGACACACGAATATAGCCTCTGACCAAGGGTGTCCTAGTGGAATGCCAGGCACGTGTGGCGTCGGCGTGCTTGCCGCGTGAACCAAATTCACACGGTGCCGACTTTCCCGGTGGTGACATGGGATACATTGTAGTAGGATTGATGAACGTAACGTATACAATGGAAGTTTTGGCCAAGCCAACAAAGCTCCACGCACGTACGTAGCTGTCGAATATAACTGCGTTTCTATTTACTCGGCAATGATACTTTTGCCTGCCGTGCATTTGGTTTGCTTGGGAGGAAGACGAAAACTGTACGATGCACTATCTTGGTGCTTCCAAATGCCACCCAGGCTCTCGCGCTGCCCCTGTACAGATCTCCTCCCAAAGCCAACTGAATCACGCAGACGCCACCGGAGCTTGGAGAGGACGATTGAAGCTTGCTCGCATTCTGAATGTCACTCACTACGGCTGCCATCACACGCCATGCTGCAAAACGATGGCTAACTGCGATCTAATCCAACGGCCGTAGTCATGGCCGACCACATCATTAAAATTCGACACTTTGCTACTCGCCGCTGGCTACTGGCATCCTTGCTTCTTGCTGTCTTTGCCAAAGTACGACGTCATCGTAACGAAGGTCGCCCCCGAAGATATCCAGAGCGCTGCCTATGGTTAGATCTACCCGACCACGCCCAAGCTCCCGCACCTGACGGAAGCAGACAGCGACAACGATTAACTAGGGTACTTCGACAACTCCTCGGGCAATCCCGAACCGCACGACCCAAGCTCCACGGTTCCATTCGCGATGTACGCACCACACACACTATCCCACGCGACGAGAAAATCGTCACCGTTCGTACGAAACAAAGCGAAAAAGCGTTTGTGCGGGTTGGGAAAAACTACAGAGCATCTCTAGCACGCGACCTCCAAGGGAGAAAAAACACCACGCTGGGAAAAAGTAGATGAGAAAACTAGGTCGAGTTTCAACCTGCAGCTGTGAATTCACAGGCGAGGCCTTGGCAGTTCAAGGCTCATACTGCACCTACCACTACGTGTTTGGCTGGAAGAATGCGATCTCTGACAAAAAAATGGCGTCCAGATGGGGCGCCGTCCACAGATGGGGCACAAAATGACAGCAAGTTCCTACTACCGGTTCCTTCAACATCAGTGCGGACGTCGAAGGTGGGAGGTATGGTGACAACCACAAAAATTGGAACAACTGGACATCAATCATCAGCAGAAAAGGCTCCACACAAAAACGTCTCACCCGATCGAGGTCCTCCAGGGAACTAGCCCCTCCAGCGTAGGTGACCAATCTTGGGCTGAAGCTGCCGAGCAAAGATACTAAGTCTTCCAGCACGCCACACATCTTGCCCTGTCATGTATCATCGAGTAGATTTGCCAAAAATACAAAAATGAAACAACTTTTCAACACGCAGAACAAGTTCACATGGGGAGGATGACTGCAGCAAGTTTTACGTTGCGCTGATACAAGAAAATGGCTTCATGCCAGGGCGGTAAGGCCAACAAAACAAGTAGTAGAAAACATAGCCACGCAACACCTGGCGATAGTCCAACACGTACAAAAGAGAAGCGAAATGTCTAGCGAGAACAAGAGCAGTACCAACGGTCGACGGCAACAACCTCAGTGATTAGGTCTAATACCTCTGCGTCGACGCCATGTACCAAGAACTCGTCGCAGTAGCCCGCTAACCGCTCGAGGTTTTCCCGTGTGACGGCGAAGCGGGTGAACTTTTGCCACTTGTTCGTCACCACCAAAAAGTCTCCCCGCTCCAGACCCCCGGGACGTCTTCGGCAGCTGAGGTCAAGCACTAGCCTGAAATTAAGACGCAGGGAAAAACTGAAAGTTGGAGCCGTGCAAACGTTTCCTGGAGGGCAAGCGCTCAAGGGGTGACGATGCACACGAACGCGTCCCCGGTTTGATGCGGGGGATCTGTTGGATGTTACCATGTCAGCAGACACGCAACAAATTGCTCAAGCGCCACGTAAGGAGAAGTTTGCGCTAACAAGTGCAAGAACAAGGCTTGATTCAAACCAAGGGCACTGTACGCGTCTGAGTCTGGCACAACCCACGGACGATGTCCACATATAAAGAAAACAAGGTGAGTTGCAGGAACGGACTCCAATACGCAAAAACATCAAGGTCTCGGCGAGGAGCGGCTACAGCCCGTTTTGGGCGGCTCACCTATCCTTCCCTACGACTGTTCGGAGCTCTTCCAGCCTCTCCCAGTCGATTTCCCCGTCCTTGTTTCGGTTCAACAGGAACGCGAAGTATACAAGCAGACACCGTCGCACGAGCACCGAGGAACAGCAGTGTTCTCGAGAGTCAAAACGGAGGAAAATTATGACAAGAACAGAGATGGCTTGACACACTTGTACGGTATCACCGGTCCCAACAAACTAGCTCAGGCCGTATATCAGCACGTGCAAATGGATCGAAGCACCAACCGAAACAATTCAGGTAGACACGCTGCCTCGTTCGCGCAAGAAAAGTGGACTTTGAGATCAGGAGTGCTGTGACTTTGCCAAAACGTGTAACCCCCAATACCAGTCGAAAACGAAAGGACAGGAGCAAAATGCTAATCTTTCGAATATATCCACGGCGAGAGCAATAGCACCAACACCAGCAATCGTAAGCAACGGATCGAACCTTGAAGACATAGCTCGTGACGATGACGTGGCTAGCACCAGCATCGAGATATTTCATGGCGTTAGAAGGATTGACGCCCCCACCGACGTGCAAGCCCCCAGGAAATGCCCTGTGTTTCATCCGTGCACGGCAATACACAAACTGCTAGATGAGGGAACGAGGTTCCGACTACAAGTATTGACAATGGCCTAGCCTTTGCCAACGAGTTGATACGACAATGGAAACAATTGGAGCTTTCCTCCGTCTTAACACCCTATCCAATCGCTACCGGGACCTTCGAAAACGCGCGGGGTTCAGCTCTTCATTGATTCGCTCGTCGTATCGCGTACACAAGCAAGGCGGCAGGGACTTCGCCCTGGCGATTGTACATGCGCCGATTACACTTGACCACAAATGGAGGGGTTCAGCTCCAGACTGGCCCCCATATGTCGGGGAGCACCTCGTAGAGACTAAGGAGATGAGGGGCACCGACTGCAGTGGATACGTGTGCTCATGTTGTGCTACAGTGGTAGATTTCTGCTTTGCCCGTGAAATTAGCTCACATGCGACCAACGGCTGGACATGGTACTCTTTCCGTCACATCGGCTGACAAAACGTGGCCATTGAAACAAAACTCAAAGCCGAACACAGGTGGGCGATATATTTAAAAAGGGCGGGAAATTGAAGGCGCAACGCGTGATTTCGAGTGGTGTAAGTAACAGGGGGTCAGCGTCAGCAACGAAGCTGCTTCGGCGATGGGTCTACACCGGATAAGCGATGGTTGGTGGGCGGGGGGGGGTGTACTCATAGTCGTGCATGCCGTAGTCGTTAGACCATGGACCTCGCATCCCTACAAAGCCGGAACGGAGCACGCCAGGTTCTCACAGAACCAGGCTCTCACATCACCACGCGCCGGCGAGTCGCAAGAAGGGTCCGCTGCATCCTGCTGAGGGTGTTCGGCATCTTGTGCTTACTGCCTTGCGTACAGATGACAGCTGCGTATGACTGAATATATTTTCTGGTGCTGTCACTTCCAGAGGCATTCGTAAGCACTGTGTAACTGCCTCAAGGGTGCTTGACCATTTTAACACAACGTGGTGCGATCATTCCCCTTGCGCGGAGTGAGGGTTCTCCAACCCGCACAACACGATCCACTCGACCAACATTATGGTTACCGCCAAAAAAACAAAAGAGGAAAAAAAAAAAAACGGTAACCAGGTTGCCGAGCTCACGAAATGACTTGGCTTGTTTTACAACGTCGTTGCCAAGCGACGAAAACTCAATCCCGATGGCAAACACCGATGGGGGGGGTTGTTTTACAACGTCGTTGCCAAGAGACAAAAACCCAACCCCGATGGAAAACACCGGGGGGGAGTTGGGGCGTACTCTTACTCTTATGTTTTGCATGTCTTAGCGGTTAGACCATTGACCACGCGTCCTCGAAAGGACGGAGCATTGTTCCCACAGGACCGATCACCGATGGCCAATCGTTCCTTTCTACTTTGCCAAACGGGGGGGAGTTGGGGGGGGGTAAACTTGCTTACGAGCAACAAGAAGGATAATGATGAACAAACCTACTTTATTGCCGCTAGTGCTGCTTCCTCACACCCTCCGCCGAGCATGATCACGTGCCCCCCTCGGAGGCCATCTCGCTCGTACATCCTGGCACGGCGATGAAGAAAAAAGGAAAGACACCGTAGTCATGATGTATATGAATTATGACAGTTCACGGTGCACGCATCAATATGATGAACCAGGAGCCAAAAAGGAACGCCCCGCACGAGGACATCGGCGTGTTCGAGCTGACCTCCAAAAGAGATCGTTCTGACGATCTGGCGAGGAATCGCAGCCACGCTCCCGGATGGTACAGTACCACACATCCTAAGCCTCACGACGACCCGAACAACGCAAAACACACCGCGCAGAACAAAGGCAACACCCAAACGCTTACTTGGCGAAATCGGCCGAGCTCTTGGTGGTCTCGAAGTTGGTTTCAAGCGTGGATGTTGTATCCCCGGTTGCCGACAGAGTTGATCCTACAATCTGCTTCACCTGAGTTATTTTTTGCAGGGGGGGGATTGCAATCGGATATCGCAGAGGATAGCGGCAGAGGGGGGGTGTCGTGCAGGCGGCAGTCTGAAGACGAAAGAATCTTGCGGGCGTGTGTGTGTACAGAGAGGACCTAGCGTTGGGTTCCCAACGTCTCGGAAGTGGTGGGCAACAGCATTACAAGTTCGATGCTGCCATGAGAGCGCACGTGTTCGGGGTAGAGCGGCAGTGTGGGTCTTGCGTACTGTGTTCGCATGCCCATCAGAGCACACGGCGGGGCGTCTCCATTACGCGCAGTACAGTTGAAAAAAAACGTCGTGTCGATGCAAATTAGTTCCAAATGGCAATAACCCAAAAGTCCTGCCAGCATCTGCCTACGCCGCCTTTTCCTGCTGGGTCAAAAGAGCTATCATCGGTGGATTCACGTATGTCCCTTATGTAGGGCTGTACAGCTACAGAGCAGAATCATAGGTCAAACCGCGTCAGGTGCCAGTCCGTCAGAACGTGGGAGTCACCAAGCGATTGTACACCACCCTCTAGAGAATGATCGATCATCCTGTCTCCGCAGCTGACCAAACTTCCCAACAAAATCCACTGACAAGCAGCTGCTACTTGAGATCACAGGCATCGTTGCGTATCCACGAAAAACAGACCATTGGCATTGGAGAACGGTTGGTGGCACTGCCGCTGCTGCTCAACTCATAGCTTGTTTGATCGCAGAGATTTGAAAACGGGACTACTGCTGTACTTCTTACTGTATGTCAGTACAGTATAACAGTAACAATTCCATCCAGCCTGTTCTGTACACGGTAGGGGAGGAGCTTCTTGTCAGTGGCGCAAACTCTCAGACGCCGGAATACCATCAGCATTGTCGAGTGGGCGAAGAAAACGCTTCACACAGCAGACGTCAGCCCACGCGGGTTGAGCGTGCGCAATGTTGCAACCTGGTACGTGTCCTTTGCTGTGTCCTTTCACGTACCTTGCCCTCGTGCAGATCGATGCAGGGCCGGAACCTCACTGATCGTTCCGGTCCCTCTTCCTTTACCCCATCTCCTGCTGCCGATACCATGCTCGATTCCGCCATGGACAACGCGGTCACCTCCGCGTGGTGAATGGGCACTCCTAGATAATGAAGTGTTACGTTATGTCCGAGGAGCAGCGCAAAGCGCAGCACACAGGCGAGGTTCCCGTGGCTCCGCCACATCATCAATTCGTTCCTCGAGGTTGCGCCGCGTTTCGGTCCTGCTCGTGCTGAGCAGATTGTTATCGGGGCGCTGCTGTTGCATCTCCTCTCTCTCTCGCTCTCTCTAGCTTCTCTACTGGTGGAAACGCACCCCAACTATGCGAAACCTGGCATTTCATACGCTTGCGATACTGGGCTTGGGTGTGATGCCGCTCGGACGCTGCGACGGGTTCTCTGCGATATCGACCGTTTTAAAGCTCAGCAACCCGCCGAGCATTATCATGCTCGGCAAGACTTCAATCATCCAGGGTGTACCACGATGTAGACGGCAATGGGTCCGCGGTTTACCGGGTTGCGAAGCTCCAGTGGCAGCGCAAGACTCAACACCCCGGAGGTGCACTGCCCGGGTGTGTATGGGCTCTCACACGGGTGAGAAGTGAGAACGTGCATGTGACCTGCTGCTGGCGCTGTCGTTAGATGTAGATACGATGGGGAAGCTAGCTCGGGGTAGTGTAGAGTCGGAAGCAGTTCGACCAAGGCGGGCCGGCAAGGGAGAGTGTAGTATCATGTAGATCAGTTTGTGCTCGTAGCTGGACAAGAGATGGCGACATATCCGGAACGGACTTCACCCTTTCGCACCGAAACGAAAACGTCTCGCGGATTTCACCCGCGTTTCCCCGATCCTCCACGCCGAAAAAGAACCAACTACTCTTAGGCCTCGAGGTAACATTTTTCTTTCTTCTTCATATCACACAACTATATTAATCCATCTCTATCTATAGAAATAAGTCTAGATAGATTAGCAATGAATCCATAGCGTGAGCGAGAAGCTATCTGTATGTCTACGGTTTCCCAGACAGCATACAACGATATCTCCCCTGTGGATAACAGGCTCAACAAGGCAGTTTGGCAGTCATCGTGTGTATCTATCTGTATGTTGTGTTGGGAAGTGTAGACGGAAGATATAGGGGAACTCGGTTTGTCCGGTGTTCTATTTTGGCACCCTTATGTGGTTGCGGAGCAAGCGCGTCTCAGGGTGTGTATATTTACGTCAACCTATTTTTCGTGTGTGATGTATGGGGGCATGCGCGGCGCGGGAGAACATATTTTACCGTGTTGCGTAATGGCATGTCGTTACACGTGAGAAGGGCACGACAGAAGATTATCTCATCGTTGCCTCCTGACGTAGCCGCCGATAGAGGCGTGTGGTTGGGGTTTCATCACCGACATGTGCATGTGTGTTAAATGCAGTAGGCATGGTCACCTCTCTCGCCCGTGTGTCGACAGAAGGTATTGCTACCTTTCCCATTTATTTGTAGGCAGCGCGGACCACAAGTAAAGACAGAGTGTATTTCATGCATCTACATCATTTGTATGTGGAATGAGAGGAATGAGAGGTTGTTCTAGCGTATAAGCAGTTTTGACGGTGTGTGTATGGGTAGGGGGAGTACTCCCTGTGTCCGCGTTGTTCCCAGATGTTGTCGCATCAAGTGGCAGCATGTGTCATGGACAGATAGACGTGGAAGGGCGGCGACAGGTGAACGGCAGCAGCAGTATGTTGTGCATGGTGGCATGTTGGGCTTGTACAAAGTCGCAGTCCATCTTCGACCACACACGAAGGAGTTTGTTCGTACCTGTCGGAGTTTTGGAGGGCCCAAGTCAGTCTCAAGCAGCAGTAGGAAGGAGCGAACAGGCGCAGTGCTTCTCTACAGCTTTAGAATCCGTCCTCCTCAAATCCTAACGGAGGTGATTACGTATCGCACAACGGCTGGATCCGAATTGCCGGCTAGCTCCGAAAAATGTTTGTTTGGCCAAAAAAGTGACCGTAACAGCCTAGAGCCAGTTCAAAGTAACCAATCAAGAACCAGAAAACCGAAAACCAGGTGGCTGCGTCACCACAACGCTAAAAAAAACACGACTCCACTTGCAAACTACGTTAACAACACCAAAGCGTACTATGATACGTGCACTGCACACAACACACACAACCACCGGACCATCAGCACCGGATCATGTGCACTAGACTGGCGGATCAGGCGAACTGGAAGAACCCATCAGCTGGAGCAGTAGCGCATGAATATGTGTGCATCTACAGCAGCAGCAAAGTCGGAACAAATATATACTATTTCTTTTTCGTCCTCACTTCAAATCAGCGCTCACAGCACTAGTGCCGCTTACTCCAACCCGTGGTCACACAGAAGATTCCCTCTCTACTCTCCCCTCCTGCGGTACTTTGCCTTTCATTTTCAATGCGAGAAGAGTTCAGCACTCGCTTCCCTCTGTGTACACACGAACTAGCGCTATCCACTAGGCCAGGAGCGTAAGCGAGAGAAAAACTCACGTTGCAAGAGAAGCTCGCTTACGCCGGGATTCGAACCCCTGACCTGACCTCTAGAAGGTTTCGAGGATACCAACTAGACCACCGGGGCGACCGGCATTACATGTGCGTCTGCTGAGAGCGGAGAAAAAAACGAAAAAAAATGTTGCCATCAGAGGCAGTTCCAGGCGCTGTTTCTATCCCTTCTGCCGACGCCCACAAGCTACCACAGGCGATTCTGAGCATATGCGCCGCTAGCCCTGCACACATAGATTCTCGGAAGCTATCAACTTTGCTCGTGCTCGATAAGTTGGTCCCGGTATGTGCGTGAACGTGTTTTCGAAAAAGCTTGAAGTTGGAGCCTGCGGCCAGTTCTCCAGCCGAGTCAGAGACCCAAATCTCTTGCTTCCACCAAAACACGCTCAAGCACATTTTGAGACCAATTCATCGAGGGCGAGCAAAGTGAAGAGCTTCCGAGAATCAGTATGAGTAGGGCTTGCGGCGCATGTTTTCAGGATCCCCTGTCGCAGCTTGTCGACGGTGGGAACACGGGTGAAGGAAAGCTCGGACATGCGTGATTTTTCGGCACCCTTTTTTTCGCGTGGATTTTCAGGATGTGGTCATCATGTGTGCCCCGCGTTTTCAAGGACAAGAAATGGCGACACGCTTCGCCGCGGCTGCCATTTCTGTCTCTGAGCGTGGGCTTTGCACGCTTTGCTGCGAGGCAAGGCGATCGTTGTCCTCGAGAGCCTTTGTACGCGTGTCCAATCGTGTCTCCGGTGCGCTCCATAAAGGCGCCGTGGACGAACGAATGATGCTGAAAATACAATCGGCGATGATTTTTTTTTGGGCTGACGGCTAGAATTTTGACCCATGAGAGCCCGAACAGGTGCAAGTGCCCCTCAACGGCACAGCCTCGGATCGGGACGCGGTTTTTCGTGTTGTGTGCGCAGAAACCAAAGCTAAAAATCGACAGGAACAGATTTTCGAGTTCAAGGGAGAAAAATCGAGCACTGGACAAAACCACTCAAAAAACCATATGTTCGCGGCCTTCCAGAGTGGCGGGGGGGGAGAAGCGACGTAGGAGGAGACAGGAACAGATCTGGCCGAAGTGTGTGCTCAACGACCTGACGACAGTAGAGGCCGACCACGGATCTACGAAAACCGATCCGTGTTGTCTCGGAATCCCGGTACCGAAAGACACGGCACCGAAATTAAAGTGGGCGGAAGCCGCGAAGGTGGAGAGGGGAGTACCATGGCATGCGGCGGGGCTGCAGGGAGCTGAGAGGTTCATGGCCTCCTGGCACGAGAAGGAAGAAGAGGCCAGCCGACAACGAGCGCTCAAACGAAAACACAAGCCAACAACCAAGGGGGCGGGAGGGGGGCAGGAGACGGACGAGACGGCGAGGGAAGAAAGCAAACGAGAAGAGACGGACCGAGTGGCGCGATACGTGCCGGGTTGAATTTCCTTTAGCCAGTTCCCCCCCCGAACGCTGCACCATTGCACCAACCCCCCACTAGTGATGGCGTACCATTACCATGTATCGCTAGTAGGTGGCCATGTTTGCGTGTTGGCTTGTTCGTTAGTGGTCTCTCCACCGTATGCCTTATCTGTCTCTTATTTCTTGTTATTTTCGGCCTGGTCCCTTTTTGTCCTCGCTCTTTTTCATTTTATTTTCTTTGCTCACTGTTTCCTTTTATTATTTGTTTTCTCTGTTTTCTCTGTTTTCTCTGTTTTCTCTTTTATTTCTCTCTTTTTCTATACGAGATGGCCTTGTCTCTGCTTGCGCTGTGACATACCAAGATTGAACTAAGGGGGTGTACCACTTTCTCTCCCGCCCGTGATGCTGACTCCTAGTCTCAGTTGTTACCTCGCATAGCACGCAGAGGGAGTGCAGGACTCCAGATTATGTGTCGTTGATTTCTATTGACTTGCGGATCCCTCGGGGCCAGTTTATTTGAGTGTACCATTACATGGTAAGTTAACCTGTGACCACCGGAATCGACCGCGCCGAGTGTTGGGTCAGTACGGACATATGAAGGTACTGTGTAGAGATAGATCGGAACGGTTATTAATATGAAGACAACAACAATCAACAAGAGTGTGGAAAAGAAAATGTGGTCCTGTTAATTAATCGAGTATGATCTGTAGACACCTGTCCTAGAGTACGAAGAGTCAACTCTCCACCTGGAACCAGTGGTACTTGCACCCGTTTTCTAGTCTATAATTATGTGCCTGATCGTGGAAGACCCCTTCAATGTGGAGCGATTCTTAGCTATTGTCGATATTTTCACTGCGTGCCTAACACAGACGATTGGGAGAGATTCGGGTGATTGTCCATTGCAATCATGGCTTTGGTTGGTTGTTCTTTTTCACTGTACGTCCGCAGANGTTCTTTAGATCCTCAGATGGCTCTAGCACTTTCGTGACCACGGGCCGAGAGTCTTTGCTAGATATTGGCATTTAGCAACTGGCATACGGTTTAATGTGAAGTCAACAACAACAACAATCAGAGTTTTTGAAAATTCTGCCACCGAGTCGAGGAAAAATAGAAGTACATATTTTTGGTGGTCCGTCTGCTGTTTTTTTTTCGTTACGGGTGTAATCTCGAGGTCTAACTGTACCAACACCTTCCTTCTACATACACCTTTACCAGCATAACATGCAGAGAGATGCACTACCAAACTATCTTGTTGGCTTGTGTTAACCACAGGGGAGATATCGCTGTGTGCTGCACGGGAAATCGTGGGAATACAGGTAGCCTTCGCTGAGACGCGATGGGTCCACCGCTACGAACGTATTTCTTAGACTCCTTTCTTGGAGACGGATTCGTCGGGTCACTTACTCATTGATTTTTTCGGAGATTTTTTTTTGCTCTCGGTCGGGGGGGGTGGTCTGCACGAGATAAAAGTATCTAGATCCAAACGGCCTCCTTACGGTTCCTCGAGACAGATTTTTTCTCAGGGAAAAACAGGACCGATTCAAGTCTTTCGTTGGTCACAACGTGCTTCGGTTCACGGTTCTCGCCCTGTTTTTGGGTCGCCTGCAGAGGGCATGTGAAAATTCGCACGCCAGTAGCTGCAGTTTGTGGATTTCATCGGCCAAAGGCCGCTCTCTGGCATGCGTTGTGGACTGATGACGCTCGCAGCAACCAGAAAAAACAAAGTCCAAAAAATCAGCATCGCGTCACACTTCGGTTCACGTTTACAGGCCGTGTGAAATTAAAACTGGACAATACGCTCTGTTTCTGGGACGCGAGCGTAGCGTATGTGTATGATCACATGCCATTGGCTGCAGTTTGTGGATATCATCGGCCTAAAGCCTCCCTCTTGACATGCGTATTTGACTGGTAGCGGGTGACACACGGAGCAACACGCGGCGGAACAAGACAAAGTCCAAAAAGTCAACACCGTAACACACTTCGGTTCACGTGTACAAGCCGTGTGCAATCAAAACTGTACAATTCGATCCGTTTCTGGGACGCGAGCAGAGGTTATGTATATGATCACACGCCACTGGCTGCAGTTTTTGGCGTGCGATTTTGACTGGTCACACATACATGCAGCGGGCACTACAACGGCTCTCTTCGGCCCAAAGGCAAGAACGTCAGCAGAGCAATGTGGCAGGGTTGATGTTGTCGGCTCGTGTGCGGCCAACACGACGCCGAACGCCCTGAATTTTAGATACCTGCAGAGGGTTGTGCATGACCTCATGGTACTGGTCTCTGTTTGGCCAGCTGACGGTGTAGTTCCTCGTTCTGGCACGATCGGGGTGTGACCATGGTGTGACCCCCCCCAATCCTAAACTGGAAAATATCAGCCAATCCAGTTTGGAAAATGGGTCTATTTTAAGTAATTCGGCAGCTGGGATCCTAGGAAATATTCGGCGATTTGGAATTCGGGCGTTTGGAATTGGCCATTTTCCTCCGCGAAAGACGCTCAAGAGGAATATGGGCTGAGAATAGGATCCCCCCCAAAAAAACTCTCGAAATAATCGAGACGCAAAACTCGGCCTCAAACACGGAAAAGCAAAGTGTCAGAGGTACAGCACACTTCCATGCACACACGTTATTGTTCTGAGATTGGCTTGTTCTACGTATCCACAAGGGTGCCACGAATATCTACATGTAGCACACCCGAAAAGCCAAAATCATCCCAACACCTTCCTTCCACACCTTCCCAGCATAACATATAGAAAATATATACACGACGGCTACCGAACCGTCTTTGTTGAGCCTGTTGCCCACAGAGGAGATACATATCGCTGTATGCCTCTGGGGAATACCGTACGTGGCCCGATATAGTGGCAACCTGAATAGTGGAGCTGCGCACATTGTGGCGTCAAGTGTCTTGTCACAACCTCAACATGTAGATATATGAACCGGATATCGAATAGTGGCTCTGCCCTGAATAGTGGCATATTCTCCTCTTGCCCTTTACAGCCTATTCGGGCCACCTACTGTGTAGAAATATGAGTAGCTTCCACTGACGCCATTATTCATTGCTACAGCCGTACTGTAATGTATCTTGACTGTTTTCTCTAGATAGAGATGGATTCGTTTTATCATTCTTCGAAGTACTAAGAAAAAAAAAAAGTCAGCCGCTTTTCCCCCCGCTCCCATTTATCCCCCGCTGATTGCATATACTTCATCACACCCCCTTCGACTCTAGGTTGGTGATATATCTAACGAGCCGCCTTTCTGAGTTTGCATGTGCAAATGATACATGTGCCAGGGAGGGAGATACTTTCCACGATTGGGCGTCCTGCACACGGTGTGCTGTGCGGCGTGACGGACTTTGTTTTCAGCGGAGGATAGACATGGACACGCCGGATATTTTTGTGTGTGGCGTTTTTCCTAGGTCGAGCGACGAACAAGTCGAAAAATGTATTGATATCTGTTCGCTTCTTGCACTACACCACCACAAGTCAGATGAACCACAAGGCGAAGAACAACATAAACCGGAATGACATCATCGGTACCAAGACAAAGAAACCTCCGCCGACACAGCCGAAAAAGTGCCTGCTTGCGTGGAAGAAAACAGTCAAGACGTAGAAATTCATAATCCGGAAACGTGCCACGGGACGCGAGAAAAGGGGTCAGGATACCAGTCGCGGAAGGTCATGGTTTGTCACGATGTGATGGTCCCCAAGACAGAGGAAACTCTCCCTTAAGTGAGACACCAAAGCGTTGACGTTTGTCACTCACACAGATGGCGCGCGAAGTTAGTGAACGCACAATGACATACGGAAGGTGTTTCCCTCGTCGCTGCCTGTGAGATCAACCTCCCGCTTCTCCGCGAAGCCAACCAGTCTCAAACCCTATCCCGGGAAACCCTATGTAGCCCGTGTCTCTCCGGGCTGCCATTAAGACATATCAACCTAGAACAATCATGGGGGGCCAAACAGATGACTGCCGACTTCATTGTACGCATGGTTGACGGCGATATGAGAAAGGGGATTCCTGCGGGAAAATGTTCGTCAATAACATGGACGAGAGAATGGGGTGCGAGATAGAGATAGTGCCCCACACCTGACGGGTATGACGAGGGCATGTTGTTTGTGATTCAGTGTTGCATGTTGCACCTACAGGGTGAGAGTGAGTTTTTTGTACAACGTATGCTTGATGCTTGTTGCTGCCGTGACTACTTTCTGGGACCGCTCGAACCTTGGGTATGATGTTTATGCAAGAAGATCAATCACGGCACAGGGATACCACCAGAGTTCTGCACGCCCTAGGTTGAAAGCTTTCGATGTGTTCCAACGCAAGACATCCCAGCTTTGCCGCCCCGCGGCATATCACAATCGTTGACCTGACGACCGTACGGATACCGTGTGCTTTTCTTTCCGCATGATGCTACTGATTATGCTGTGCTTCGACCGCTGGTGTTTGATCACATTCCTCCTCCTATTGCGGACCACCCAATACCCTTTCGACGTATCTGCGCAGCGCGTGCCGCCGCCGGTAGCCTCGGAACGGCCGCTGCTGCCGCCGTTTTGCGCGGAGGAGCAATGGGTGAGAATTGTCGGTATGTTGCGGACCTCTTATGTGCCATTCCTCAGTGCCCATGTCAGATAATATGTAGCTTCTCTCCTAGTCGGCGCTCGTTTATTGTTCTGTCGTTTCTCCAGCCAATGAGAAGCTTTTCTCTCCCCGCGGTCCCCAAATCATTCGTTTGTGATGCCCTGCGTTCTGCCTTTAGAGCAGAGGCTTGCCCTCTGATGGTGTCATCCGGACAGACCCTTATGCCGTGAACAATGTCCCTACCTCCGCAGTAGCCTCTTCGCTGCTCCTCTGGTCCAAGGCTACCCAAAGAACCGCTAGCATCGCTCTTTGGCTTATTTGGCCACTTCGTTGTCTTCGAGCGTCCTTTGCCGTAGCCTAGAATTACCGAAGTCACAGTGCCTCGGGCCGTCGCGGTTGAGGAGCGATCAATCAGATGGACCAACCCTTGAGGAGGGTAGTAGCTTGCGTTGTTATCGTTTTGTGCGGAATGAGAGCCTTGCGGATGGTGGTACGTGCTGTCCCACCTGCAGCTGTTGGCATGCCGGACACCAGAGCTTGGAGTGTGTGCTCCTTCCTCGTGCTTTTTGGTACTGCCGTGGCTTGGTTCACGTCGGCATGGGAAACGTTCCGAGTTTGGGTGTTCTCTTAGGCCGAGCTATTACAACGCAAATCTCCCGTCACCTGGACTGTACGCACGTGTACCGTTGCACCGTCACTTTCGCCTGTCATGTATCCTCCTTGCCGCCATGTACATGCTCACATTGTTTCACACCCAACTTTCCTGGGTTTTTTTGTCGCATTTTTAACGACCCCCCGACCCCCCGGTGTTTGCCATCGGGGTTGGGTTTTCGTCGCTTGGCAACGACGTTGTAAAACAAGCCAATTCACTTCGTGAACTCGGCAACCAGGTTACCGGTTTTTTTTACCTCCGTTTTTTTTTTGGCGGTAACCATAATGGTGGTCGAGTAGATCATGTTGTGCAGGGTGGAGAACCCTCGCTCCGCGCAAGGGGGATGATCGCACCACGTTGTGTTAAAATGGTTAAGCACCCTCGAGGCAGTTACACAGTGCTTACAACTGTCTCTGGAAGTGAACGCACCAGAAAGTAAATTAAGTCATACGCCGCTGTCATCCGTACGCAAGGAAGTAAGCACAAGATGCCGAAAACCCTTAGCAGGATGCAGCGCACCCTTCATGCGTCTCGCCGAATATATCACGGTGCTTCGCGCTTGGCGATGTGAGAGCCTGGTCCGGTGAGAACCCGGCGTGCTCCGCCCCGGCTTTGTAGGGATGCGAGGTCAATGGTCTAACGACTACGGCATGCACGACTATGAGTACACNCCCCCCCCCCCCGACATGTGCAAGCGCAGAGCACAACGTCATCGCTGGCGTGTTGGGGGAACTCGCCAATATTCGGACGCCTGCAGCCCTTCTCGGTGGCGCCGCCCTCGGCACGATGTTCTTTCAGCCCAAGGCCGATGCCAACAGGCGGCTCCATCTGCTCTACACCCTGCTCTCTACCTCCGCCTTCTCGCTCCAGCTGGTGTGCGTGCTTTGCTCGACGGTGAGCCTGGCCGTAGCAGCCAATCGTGAGACCCTTTCTCATCTTGATGTCAGACATGCCCGTCCTATCACTGCACTGCTATGTTGGGGCATTCAAACTGGCTCGGGTTTTCGTTGCGTTCCCGTTGGGTTGGGAATTTGTTTTTAATAACCTCGCGAGGAACAACGAACTTTTCTGCGACTGTTCCGACCAAGGATGTGGGCGCTTACTCCGATGTGGGACTCCGCGTCGTACCCTGAGCTTTGAGCGTTCCGACTGGTCCTAACACAACCCTTCATCGCCAAAATGGACGGAGCAAGACCGGCAAGGTTTTCTGGTCTAGACCATGACAGCAAACTTCGAGAGCACTCTTCTCTCTGTTCACTCTTCTCTCTTTGTGCCTCTGCAATCCCTGCGTCGCTGTTTGTTGCACCGGCTCCTCCAGCTCACGTATACATCGATAGCGAGCCGTCCCGAGGCTATCGCGATATCGGCTATCAGCTATCTCTCGGAGCAGATGCAGTGGGAGTTTTTTGTCATTCGGGGCAGGTGGGCCGTTAGCAACGCATCAATAGAGGTCCTCATTATCGTTCGATGTTTTGTTCATGTTATGTTATAAAGCGAGTTGTTGTTCTATCGAATTCGATTTTCCACCTCCATATTCGGACCTTGCTTAGTTACAAATGGCTCTTGGCGAACCGAAACTTTAGTCCGCATTTCACGATGTATCTCCTAGGTCGTTCTGAAGTGACCGATCTGGCGCGTGGCTCCTGCGGTTGTGTGTGCCTGTTGTTGGATGCCAAGTGTTGGGATAACACGGCGGGACACGGAGATGCCCTAGGCAACTCAACCCACAAGAAGAGTGTGAAAGGTTGTACCGCCTGCGAGATTCTGCACCTGAGCGTACCTGACCCACTGCACGATGCTCTGTGAACGGGCGGGTTCATAAATGTCCCTCGGCAGGCATTGAGCAGTCTGTGCGGTCTGCGACACGTTCTACCAACGCGACGTCTGGCCCCCCCTTGAACGATATCTGATTGACCCGTTTTTCTGCGAATCCCCCCCGTCTTGCCGTGTGTTATTTCTCCATTACCTCGGCGCAGCTTCGTTTATGGCCTCTTCTCCTTCCTCGCAGCGCTTGTCTGTAGAGGCTGGCTTACGTTCTGTAAGTGTATTTGGAGACCCGATCCAGTTCCGAATGTGTCATGTGTGACGCACGCGGTGCGCAGTTTTTCGAGTTTCGTTCCGGGGTTCCTTTCGAGATAAATGTCAAGACGACTTTGCCACTGGCGTTGTCGTTGCAGGGTTGCCCGCGATGTACCACATGTTAGTGCTTTCCTATTGGGAGATCATTTCGGCTGCTGATCTTCCTTCACCTCTGCGAGTTGGAGGCCGGAACAGGTAGAGTCTTGCATCATCCCGAACGTGGTTGACAGGGCGTTGCCGTTGAATTTCACGAACTCCTTCAAAGCAGCGTCGACTTTCGCTTAGGTTTTGGGGAGCGGAATCACTGCAGCGTCGGCTTGTTTGTTGTGTTACGATGTGTTACCCCGAGTGGGTGTTTTTTATTGCCTCTCTGGTCTCATGAGCTCCCTCGACCAATCTTGCGCTTCGCCTTGTTGAAATTTCGTGTCCTTCTTACCGTTATGTGCGCCATGGCTGCTGACGAACGACTATGCCAATCCTAACTATCGCGCTCACTGGGTCTAAAGAAAGCAACGAAAACGTTTACCGTGCAACGGAATTCCAGACGAGGAAAAGGAAAGAGGACCCGCGTGGGTAATCATGGCCGTCCTGGCGAGCTCGGCGATTTTCCTGCTCAATTTCATTCACTACACCCACAGTGAGTGTGCCATCTTCTGCAAGAGTCAAGTCGCGAGGGGTGCGTTTCCCCGGCTATAGAGGCCGTCGTTTTGCGCTATTTTTGCTGCTGGCAAGTTGATCTGCCTTTTTTCCCCAACCGCGGGACGGACCTATCGGTGAGGCCAGAACCCAAGCTTAGGCTGCGTCCTTACCTCATTTTCCTGCATTGTCGTTGTTGCGCTCTCCAGATTCACTGACCCTTTGTCTCGGGGGCATGACCAAGGCCTTGATCTCACTAACGCTGCGAAACATGTACGCCACGAAGAAGCGGTTCATTCGTCATGTACTGGCGGCCTTCGGCATCTGGGGCGCCGTGAAGCTTCTCAAGCTCGAACCAAGTGCAGGCGCTAAAAGAAGTGCGGAGCAAGGGACTGCAGTATCAACTGCGCCTCCTCCTCAGAGCGGAAGAGAACAGAAGTAATTGTCTGTTTGAGCCTGATTGTCAAGGGTATTCGCGTGTTTGTTCATCGCCTGTTCTCTTGACCAAGAAAGAGGTCTATATTGCTTGGGTGTTTCTGATTTTGGGAAGCTTTCATGACATTCGTTCTGCTTCAGGTCTGTACGGGCTCTTTGAACACACTACACGTATTCTTTCGTCTAAGAGTGAGAGCCGAACGTTGTATATGCGATGGAAGTGTGGCGAAAAAGAAGGTGGGTGTGACAGAATTTCGTTACTGAAAGGCATAGTGCAGGAGGGAGGGACCGGCCACCATATTTCCGGAAAGCTGCTGTAGTCTGCCTGAGCGTGCAACCTGGTTGGTTTCGCCTCCTGCAGTTGCAACCAACAGGTGTAGCTCAGCCACGGAAACGAAATACAATTCGAATAACTGGGGACCCATGTCGTGACCTTTGTAGGTGAAGGTTCGCATAACCTAAAGTTTGGGGGAGGGTTGAACGCGTGGGATATCTCGACTTGGGGAGAGATTCCTGGTTGTTTTCCCTGTGCTGCTACCCTCTGGCCGTACGTATGCTTCATTGAGATCCAGTTGGGAGATACGAGTCTGTAGTGAATGTTCTGCAAGTTTGCCAGGCAAGTGCATAGCTTATGTTTGCCGGCTGCAATGAGCTCGAACTTGTGAGCTAAATGCCTCGGTGATTTGCTGGTCATCCTCCTAGCGCCCTTTCCTTGCCCATGGACAGTGGAGGGTCACACATGACTCATTCTCCAACTCCCCCAACCTCTCAGGCTTCTAGAGCTGAGCCTCATATGTAGGGTCGGGTGCAATCGCGACGCACTAATGAAAGTCCCGGTGTGGCAACACACCGCGTAAGAATTTATCCATGTCGAATTGTTTGTGTCAAAATGCTTAACAATTGTGCCAAGACTGTTGTCCATTCGAAAGATTCAGAAGATGTTGGGTCTTGCTATTTCTGCCACACCTGGGACCTTCATTGGGAACACCTCCTGCGGGCCCGCCAGCAAAGAACCAACACCGTCGGTCTTTCACGTGTTTGTCTATCCACTCTCACGCTGGAAAGATCCTTGCCGCAAGCACCTCGACATTAATGATTTCACGGCGATGGCATGCGCACTGGGGCAGATTAGACTATTCAACAACGAGTGACAAAGTGGTGCACCGTTGAATACTCGACAACTTCTCTGCCCGGAGAAAACTCGCTGCGGTGCCAGTGAATCGGTGGTGGGTGAAAAATGTACCCATCCGCTCGAAGTGGGCCCTCCGCAGGAGGGAGTGGTGACTTCATCCGGAAGAATCGCCTGAACTACATTGCATCCGCGTGGGGGGACAACCCCTACTTCTGAATATAGGTGAAGAACGGGACCCAGGGCAACATTGGACACCTCATCTGCATCAACATAGGAGACAACACATTGAAGTGGGCAGCGTGGCGGTGGTGAGTGAACTAGGCTCATCCGACCACATGTCTATAGTCTAGTACATGTAGGTGATCGAAATTTCTGGTGGACGCGTACCCAGCAACGAGGAGCGACGGTAGGTTGCATTACTGCTGTTGTTTGACACGCCCTCTGCCCGATTTTTTTACCTTGACGACGTTGTACCAACAACGGTTATGGTGGCGAAAATGATGATGTTGGAGTATTAACGTCTCGTCGAGAGCGGTCCGAACACCTTGGGGTGCCAGAGAATACCATGGCCTACCGTGGGACGTCATGGCACCGTGCACAACACGGCACACCTTGGGACACAAAGGAACATCGTGGCTTGCCATGGCGTCCCACTGTGCCTCACGGTGTCCCATGGCATGCAATGGTGCCCCATATCGTTGCACGGTGTCCCCATGGCATCCAACGGTGTGCAACGGTGTGCCGTGCCTCCCCACGGCATCCCTCAGTGTCCTATGGCGTCCCATGTGCTACCTTGGTTTGCCATGGCGTCCCACGGAACACCATGAGAGACCTCCTGGGCAATGTTATGGTTTGGTAAGTAGGTCTGGCATTCCTTGTCTTGATAAAAGGATCGAAGCGTTCCGCCGCTACATGCGGCTGCTGCTTCTGTTCTACTGTGTGTCATTACAACATGTACTGTAGAACTTCGTCAACCTGGCCAGTTGCAATTGTCCTGCCGCCCCTACAGAGAGCCGTTCAAGTCGTATCTGGAGCCGGCCCTCACACAGCGGAACCCGTCCCACTCCCCCTGCCCCCATCACCCAACCACCCGTGTTGAAGCATGTGGTTCCACGTGCGGAGAATTTGGTTCAATTGCCGATTCGGGAATATTTGGTTGACAAGGTTGACCGCACGCCGTGGATATCGACACCGCACACAGCGCATCAACGTTTGAGGGGTTGGAATTCCAGAAGTTGCACTACAATACCATACCAGGTGCTCATAGGCCATGTCAAAGTACCGGATTGGAGGACTGGCGAGTACCATGGACGGGTTCACACGCACGTGGAGATGCATGGATCGCTTGAACGTGGAAGACGAGCTCGTTCAGGTGTGTCATGGTGCCCCCATGCCGGTGTCGCGTAGATACTACATTGATGTGCGACGTTATCCGCCGCAGCAAAGCATCGGGGGGCATGCTCATATTCAGGCAGGTTGTGTTGAGCTTCCCATGGAAACAGTTCTCCTATCCATATTCGGCAACATACCGTGCGCGGTAGTCCACACATTCGCGGTAACATCGATTGGCCTGCATCCGCTTGCGGGGATTCTGTCGAACTGATGAGGGTGAACGGGGTTTAGTCGAAGATTCCTTTGGAAGCCAAAATCGGTGTTTAAACCAGAGATTGACGCTTTCGTTTCTACCGAGCCAATTGTTTCTCATCTCCTATTGCACAGTAGCTAAATAAATATGACAGTTTCGATGAAGCGTGTCTATCCAGTATATCTACCGCGGTGTGTGGAAACATGCATAGCGAAGATCGTTCATCGGGTTCTGTCTCCTCGATAGCCAGGGTCCGTCGCTGCAGATGCCAATAAAACAGATGAAAGGGCCGCCATCATTTGTCTTTGATCGTGAAGCACCTCCCGCTTAAAGGGTCGATTTTTGGGCTAAAAGCGCACCTGCCCTAATCACCAATCGCGCCGCTGTTGTCACCCAGGACCTTACCGATCCAAACTTCGTTTTGAGAAATGTCGACCTGGCGTTTTCCTGCTGTGGCCAAAGCCCTGCAGTTGAGGAGGGCTACCTCCGACGGAAGGAAGTGCAGGTGGCCGGACTTCCTCAGATGTACAACTCTTTATTTGGCGGTTCTTGCAACAAGATTTCCTCGAGTGACACGAACTCCATCCTCCAGCCGCGTATACACACCTACGTTCCGCTGACAAAATCACACGAGTTCATTGTAACTTCCGTCCAACGGCCACTTGGACCGCCGGGGGAAAGCTGATATACGACATTCGCTGCCCTCGCGGTGTTGTTCCGTGTCTCGGCCAATGATCGGGTGTTTCCCTCTATGCCGCATGATGGACAACGATGTTCAATTTCAACATGGCCGAACGATCCGACGTACGCCCGACGCCCGCTTTGCCCGTCACCATCACACAACGTGTTTTCAGAGATTGATTTGTTCGCAGTGCCTGTTTGTGGCGGGGTTCCTTCCTCCCATGTTCAAGAATATGACCGGTATCGACAAGAAGTCCAAAAGGATGGCTGTCGGCGGCCCGCTGATCGGAATCATCGGTGCGGGTGGCCAACTAGGGTGAGTAAGGCCAACCTTTCGATCGCTACAACAGAAGAGCACCCGGTTCAGCACTAATACAAGACCAGAATCCATGACAGCCGAAGTAGAAGTTCTGGAGGATTATGCAATCTCTACGGCCAGGGGGTCCGACCGACGGATCGAGGCAAGTTGAACACAACAGTGGTTTGTGAACTCGCAAATCTGCGAATGAAAGCGAAGGAACGGCAGACTCATATGAAAATTCGTGCTTGGGCCAGTAGTCCCCTTCTCTTTGGAAGCAGTTGTGTGTACAAGCATCTCTTATCAACCTCCCCGCTGTTTTATTCTCGAACACTTCCATTGCACCCTCGGACGCGTTGACCCTCGTGAAGATCGGCCATAGTCCAGACATTTCTTGACTACGGCTGGAAGCCTTTCCGTTTGGCCGTGTCTGGCAGGGGCCAGAAAAAACTCCGTCAGTTTGAGGTGGGTGGTTGGGTTGGTGGTGCTGCATTGCTCGTGATGCATGCGGCCTGTGTTCGCTAGTCGAAGGAAATGGCGCAATAACGGGCAAGGACTAGCAGCGTGATTTTCATTCCGAGATATGCGCACGACCATACCCGACGATGAGTCAAGAATTATGTATTTTGAAAATGTATTCACGCCATGGAAAGTTGTCGCAAGCTATTGTTCGAAATTTTTGTTTTACGAGAAGGAATGGAATTTGCTGGGATAGAGAACCACCCGTGCCCCCATTGAAAATCGCGTAGACACGACCCTATAGCGGGAAGGAACGCCGCACAGCTGTCGGCATCATGTTTCTACGTACGTTCTCCGGCGCAACGAGATGACCTTTTGTGTCAACCTGGGACCGTTCTCACTCGGTTGAAGCTAGAAAATTCGTTGCCCTGCTGTTCACCATTCTTTGTCCGCGAGAGGCTTCGGAGCCGGTTCCAAAGGAACAGTTTCAACACACGACCGGCTGCAACTGGTTGTCCAATCGCGCGCGATTCCTCTGCCAGGCGCTAGGCGTCGGCGTGTTTGAAGAGGTGTCGCTGTTGGTCCGTGCGGTGCGGTTGGTCATAGTGGCCGTTGGACCCCAGCACGCTAGACAAGTCGGCTCGACGCTCGTGAGTATCGGGTTTCATGGTAGTAGCGTTGCCACTGGATAAGATCGGGTCCCGGTTGTCGGTGTTGCGCCTGTGTGCTGAGCTATTTCGAGACCGTCTACAGGGTCACGTCTCGTGTTGGTGGCTGTTTCGTGCAGTGCTTGGACGCTACGGCACGTGTTAGAGAGCCTCAAGACCTATCCTTCAGTTTTGATTTGCCCCTGTGCCCACGAAACGACGGAAGGTTCTTAGTTTTGTTCGGGAGCATTCTTAGAAGTTCGACGATATCGCAGTTTTCGTTCCACTCCACTTTTTTGCATGTCGTGACTATATTGCTTGTCCATTAGTTGTCGTCAGTTGTCGCATCAAAACGCGATTTCATACGAATTACCAAGCACAAGCTTATCTTTTCTCTCACAATGTCCCCACACAAATGTGGAAAGCAAATCGCAATTCCCGCTGTTGCCCAACAAGGCTTGGACTCGACGTTGAAAAAGGCGATGAAACGGCCCAGTCCTTCCCGCCAAAAAAAAAAGAAGACAAGCAACGCATCCGTAAATCGCAAAAAACCCTAACAAACGCGTAGCCTTCCACCTGTGTCACCCCGGCCGGTTAGTCCACACTTACATCCGGTGTACATGAGATGATAAAACGCAAACGGATACGTAGGGAGACAATGGTACGGCATCAGCTTTGGTCATGAGCACCCTGGCGGGCATCAGCGAGGGGAGCCTAAAGCGAGTCTTGGGAACGGAGAATTTAATTCAGGCCAGGGTGGACATCGCTCGGCTTGACGTCATGGAAACGATGGTGCGTGGATGGCCGACGTAGACTTGTGAACGCTTCTGGATCGGTACTTGGAAGCACAATAGTACAGCAAGGGATGTCAGGCCACCGAATTGAACGTTCGATTTGGTGATAGTGCCCGGAGCAGCAGTCCGCAAGAGTAGCATGCGCTGCCCAAGGTGTGTCAGCGATGACACGAGAACGGA